AGCGTGTAGAGCCCCATTCACTTTATTTCCTGCGTTAACTCGTCGTTCTCTTTATCATATCTACCATCCCTGCTAAATAAACATCCCAAATATACAAACTCATCCACTTGCTCAATCAACTCCCCTTCTATTCTTATTTCACATAAAGTTTTACTTTTTTCTCTTTCAAAAACCATCACTTTCGTCTTACTTGCGTTCACTTTTATACCGCCTTTCTTTCAATGACCAGTTCATTAAAGTAACCATCATTTGCAACTCGGCCGCCGATGATGCAAATATTACTTGATCATTGGCGTACAAAAGGCTTTTGACGGTTGACTCACCCATTCTCAACCCACATTCTTCAACTTTCAAAGTTTGCAAACAACTGTCCATAAATAGGTTAGACAGCCACGGGGAAGCCATACATCCCTGTCTGACACCTTTATAAATGCCAAACCAGTCCGAGTAGACCCCGTTGAACCTAACACAAGCACTAGAGTCCCTATAAAGAGACCTTAATGCCTGTATCAAGCCAGTGCTCAACCCAAATGAGTTCAATGTTTGCCATAACACATTCCTGTCCACTCTGTCATAAGCCTTTTCCAAGTCCATGAACGCACAAAAAACTTTCTGGTTTATGGCCAAAAACTTCTCCGCTATCATGCGCATGGAAAAGACTTGATCCGTACACCTCATCCCCTTTCTAAATCCAGCGTGCACATACCAAATGTTTCCATCGGTTTCTTCCATAACTCTTTCAATTAACACCTTAGCATACAGTTTACCCACAAAATATCTTTTCAAATAACTATTTTCCTTGGAGTTTGCCATATTAATGGTATTTTTTGTTTCTTAAATTTGTCAGCGATTTCAGATATGTTAAGCTTTGAAATTGACGCTATTGATGCATCCACAAATACTTAATATATAAAATTCACGTGTCGCGGTGTTTGTTACCAAACTCCTCCAAAACGGCTCCACCGATTTGTACGTGTGTGCATATCGGGTAGGTCTGAGAATCGGCCAACATCTATTGTTGTCACCAATAGTTTTTTTTTTAATTTTTTTTAATTTTTATTTTATTATGATTTAGCATTAAAAATACATAAAACTGAAAATTTTCATCCTAAGGTAGGTAGTAGGTAGAGTCTGAAGAACAACGAGCTACTCGGACAAAAAATATGGGTGTAGATGGAAAATTTAATATTTAATTTAGGTTCTGCTTAACAAATAAACTGATTTAACCTACTTTGGTATAGCCATCCAAACTGAATTTATCTTTTCAGGTTTTGTTATATTTTATGTTTTCTAAAATAAACAAAACACATTTTATGTAGAAATTTGAATGTGTTTTGTTTATTTTGCTCGTATACGAGCAATAGTCTGCTACTTGTTACCTAGAGGTAACAAACCGCGCAGTCTAATTTGATGCATCGTTTGGGTAAAATAAAAATATTTTCGAAAAACGTATGCTGAACTGCGCAATGCAGCATTGCAAATTTTTAATAACAAAACGGCTGAACTTGACTTTAGTTTATTATTTATTTTAGTATAGTATTCAGTTTATCTATAATATAAAAATGAATCGCTAAATGTGTTGCTAAGCGCAAATCTCGAGAGCAGCTGAACCGATTTCGCTAATTCTTTTTTTATAATATTTCTTGAAGTACGAAGATGGTTCTTACGTAGAGAAACATTTAAAAAATCGCCTGAAAAAGTCTAAAAACAACACACTAATACTAACAACACTTTTCTATATTCCCATACAAAAGATTCGTAATAATACTTAAAAGTCAATATGAACTTTAATAACATACCATGAAGTTTAAGTGTTAGTGGAGGGGTTCCGGGAAGGCAAAACAATTGAGTGACGTTAATATCGTATAAATATTAATAATGTTAATATTTGTCAATGTGTATAAGATGGTAACATTATTCAAAAGCAAAATTAGGGTTCCGCGCAAAAAAATGATATCCATGAAATCGTAGTAAATTCCACGCGGGTGAAGTCGCGGGGCACAGCTAGTGAACGTATATTTATATTTATCCAATAATTAGAAGTACAGTACGTGAGGGTAATATGGTCATCCGGTTAATATGGTCACTATCTTATAACTTAAAAACTACATTCTGCCTTATATCCATGCCTTCTTTGCATGGATAGCTCTGTGATACGATAGCTCTTCATTAGTTAATCAAATAATAAAGGGTTAAGAGGGTGCTGTTTTATCGACGCCATTTTGACAGTTGACATTATAGTAAATATTTTAGTTGATTTTAGTATACGATCGTATACACAATAATATGTTGTTAGTGTTTTTCAAGTGGATTTTTCGAAGTGTTCCTAATCGCTTCTAAAGTTTATTTGCTGTTTTTTTCTTAATATATTAGGTATAGTTTACGACGTTGTGTTTTTGTCTCAGTCCTCCTACTAGTTTTGACTACGTTTGGAGCTGGTAGCAATGTTGCCGATGATTGTGCCATGGAAGCTCTCTTTTTAATATTGATAACCTATATTTCTTTTTCTATATTATTTGTATGTGCCCCCTCTGTAAGTGCACTCTCTATTCCATCAGCAACATCTACTGCTCTCTCCATTGTCAGGTCATGAGATTCTACAAGCCTGTCCCTGATTCCTTGAGATTGTATCCCACACACATACTGGTTCTTTAATGCTATTGATAGAAATGTCCCAAAATTATAAGTTGAAACCATCATTCTAAGTTCAGCTAGGTATTCTTTAATAGCTTCACTTTCTTTCTGATGTCTATGGTGAAATTTAAAGTAGTCTGAAATTTCTAATGATGTGGGGTCCAAATATGATTTGAGAACAGTTACATTTTGTAAATACGAACACGTCTCAGGTTCTTTGGGAGAAATTAAATCGCAAAGTGTTTCGCAAATTCTTTGTTTTTTCGTTTATCACTCCATAGATAGAAAAGGCACCCTCCAGTCTCTGGACCCATCTTTCAAATTTATTTTTCCATCGTATAATTCAATAAAACTAGGCGGTACCACATTTTTCTGATCCTCTGTTGACATTTTAAGGTGGATTGCACTGTTAAATACCTTGTGAGTGCAATGGATTAATAATTAAACATCTGAACACACGTGTAGCCTGCTTTATTTCCGTAAAGGTACAACGACAGCATAATCTGACAGCTCAAACGTTATTCCATGAACGTTCAGAAACCATAATGGCTGATTTACACAGGGACAGTAACTGGCTCCAAATTCGAGGCAAGTCAGTATTGACCCGCTACTGGCATAATGTAAATTGATTTGAAGTCAGTACAGCATTGTGTGCGCGACTACTGACTGCGTGTAAACGGTGCAAGTAAGTCATCGGCACCAGCACTGGCGCCTGTTACTGTTCTCGAGTACATCAGCCTTAACATTAGTGACCTTATATATTACTGACTCCGTGATATCTAAACGGTAGCATGACTACTTTTTGAAAATGTTAATTGCAATTTTAATGCTAACTTACCACGTGCTTGTCTTAGTATCTTGAATTGCGGAGTCTTAGTTGCTAGAGTTTAATCATACACGAGCCGCCACGCTACACGCCCCAACGAACGCTTTGCTTATCCTAATGTTCGTAAGTTTTTAAAATAATAGATACTAGTTTCTTTGCGTTAACAGTTACCTGAAATATAATATGCTTCACGTAACATACACTTCACAAATGAAAATAACCTTCTATAACTGAATATTAGCACCTATTAAACCCGGCTCATAAAGCATTGGTAGTTCTCTAAAATATATACAATAATCTAGGATTCGTAGTGTTATGTACGACAGCACTGACGATGCGTCAATCACATCGGCCGTGCCAATATTTCTCGGGAAGACGACGTTAAGTGCCGCAACAAACGTGTGTCTCAAGTCGATTCCTGGTTATACAAAGTCTTTAATTGGGGTGACTTGTGTGTAGATTGCGCGTTTTTCGCCAAAAAGAACCACTTTGTCATATCACCTTAATTTCAGGGCACTCCTCTTGTTGTCTCATCATGAATCGGTATCCTAAGCGTTGACATTTCGAATGACGTAAAGTTACGCAGTTACTTGGAAGAGAAGGCTAAATCGGCATTTAAAAAGCTTCTGAACTTCTTGAACTGATCTTGAACTTGAACCATCCTCATCATTGGTGATCTTCTGCCGTGCGATTTACGCGCAATTTCCTGCCACGGACGACTACACTATAGAATTTATTGTTGCCAGCAGTTTTTCCTAACCAATAAAGTCTTCAAGAAATATGAGCCTCCTAGTCTACTCTAATCCTTTTAAAAACCCGGAAACACACCTGCAATTCCACTGGTGTTGCAGATGTTCATGGGCAACGGTGATCACTCAGGTGATGACATACCATCAGGTGAAACGTACGCTCGTTTGTCTTCTCTTCCATAAAAGATATCTTTGTGCTCATATCGTATTACTAGTGTAGAATTGGCTATTTGGTATATACGATAGTATATTGTAAATATTGAGCACGGGAGACACTGCTATACAAAAAGACTTTCTACGCCTATTTAAACTTTTATATTTTTTTCACAAAACACATGTAACATCTGATCTCGTTGAAAAAGTCATATACTCAAGTTTATTTAGGTGTTCAAGAGGAAAAGAGCTGGACAAAACTGCAAACAAAATAATTTACGAAAATAAGGATAGTAAAAGAAACATTTTTTAAATATCGCTGGTTTTTAAAGAGATCGTATATTTTGAATCGAACTTAATAAAGTTGCAATTTAATTAAGTTGTACCTTATAAGAATGTTTATTTTGTAATATATGAATGTACATAATAAAGGTTCATTTGGATAAAGCTCGAACATCAGTGCATCATACAATCACCATCTCCTTGTAAGCGCGACACTGTACCGTCCGACCCCACCACGGCGGCGCCTACGCTGTACCACACCGTTCACTTGCTTACCGCACTCCTGTTTAGAACGTCAGTCGATACGCGCGTATACCAGAAAATATAAACTTTTTTTTGACTAGTACAGTCCCGTGATGGAGAAGGAGCATCAGCCAGATTCAATGGCTACAATAACCATGAAGCCGGAATACCCACCATCGGAAGTGTACAGCGCTTCCGAACCGCCACCGGTAAGATTTGTGAATTTCTCTTAAATAATATAATGTTAAATACTGTATATCGCTTTAGACTAAAAAGTAGTGTATGTAAATTTTGTCACATCTCTTGCACAACTGCCTATTAGTTTATAATTTTTTAATTTTTTTTTTATAACTATACTTTTAACTATATCTGTACTATACTGTCCTTTCATTTACTGTATTCATCTATGATCAATATAACTCTATTGACCTTTATAATACAATATTTTCTTTTGTCCACTATTTTACTTAAACAACAATACGACAGTTCACAAATGACCTATCGCATCATCAATGCGGGAAAGCGCCTTTCTCTCTAGCGGCGGTTATGCGGCCGGTGACGCGTAGCAGCCTTTTGTAAACTATGGCTTAGGAATATGAGTTACCTCCTGTGTTTCACTATTCATCCAATTCCATTCTGCAATTAACTCTTTCACTTAATTTTTTTAAGATAATCGTTAATTTTTTTTACCGAATTTGAGTTAATTAAAATATGTCGTTCAAACTTTTTTAACATTTCCTTTCAAACATATATAATAAATATGTACGTAATATAGTGATATAACATCCGTTGCTTATTTCTTAATTTATGTAAATATATATACCTATGGTGTCGTATGAGAATTTATCGTCACATTTCGTTCTTTGGTTGTCGTAAGAAAAGTCTAAATGTATCCGTCAAATGGTTCATTTACGAAATTTTCAATTCATCCAATGTGAAAACAATCCTCATCAATTTTTGAAATTTTCGTAGTGCTCAATGATTTGTTTATGCAAGACAATAAGAGTATTCCAAACACTATTCAAAAGTAACGTTGAACATAAGCTTAACTTATTAGGTACGTTCGTTTATGGGAACACCTTACCATGAGATGCGCGTCTATAAATGTGAGAAATTCATTGTTCTATTGTGGTTGTACATTTATTATCATAACCATGCCATCTATTATATAATTACCAATTGTCATGTGACATTGTCGCAAGGATCATAAAGACTTCTGAGCAAAAGTTTTGGCATTTTATATTGTGTAGGTATTAATATATAAAGAAGTTTTTAAACTACATCCAAATAGTAAATTTAAATACATTTAATGCCTTCTTTATGAAAAAATTGATGCATAGTAAGAAATTCATCACAGTATATCGTTTTTTCGATTGCATAGTATAAGATCATCTGAAAATTTGACAGATTTAACACATACAGTTTGGTGAATTTGAGCATTAATGATATGAGTCAGGTAAGGTGATGACGATGATTTGCATAAAGTTATAGAAAATAAGATAATGTTGTATATAAAATACATCATTAATGATACATACTGTCAAATAAAGGAAATTAGGGGATATCACTTTCCGCTTAGAGGAAAAATGTTAAAACTACGTTGCATAATTAAGTCAAACACTTGAACGGAAACTAAAAACATTAAAGTTTTTATTGTTTAAACTTTAACAACCTTTAGCTGTTTGCATTATTTATACTAAACTATAAATGCAGCGGTATTTGAGCTACCCAAGAACGTAATATTTTTTTTGTTGACAAGTTGAAGGAAAAACCCAACATTACAATAAAACAAACGCGCAGTACAGTGAAATCGGTAGGTATTGGCTAGTCAACTGGACACAACAATGGCGCTTGCGTCACATCCTTCTACTTTTAGCGACTTCATAAAAAAATTTAATTGTTTACATGGGCGCTTCGACTTGCAAGTTAAATAACAGTCGAAATACACGATTGTGTTTACATACGTTTTCAAACAATGTATGATAATTGGACTGTCTTAGTATTCAACAATCATAATTTTAGATTTGAGACCTAAGCTCTTATCGATGGAATAATTTTTCTTCAATATTCTGGTATAACAAGACATTAAAATTTTTGCTTATAATACATATTTATATGTTATTCTCGTCTCTTCTCCATTATATATTTCCTTGTTTAACGGCTTTTATTAAATTATCGGTTGCATTATGTCCAAATATTGTACCTTATCTAGTCATATTATTTTTAAAATAGATTCCTCTTTGTTTGCTTTATAGTCCAACTTATATGTTCCATTCTTCTGCAACGCTACAAATCAAAATTCTCTGTTTTATTTTTCTGTACTATTTTATATCTTTTCTGTAATAATGCACGTTTGGTCGGTCTGTGTCGGCATTACCGCTATGGGACCTATAGAGGCATCCGTAGACGCAGGGATGGTCGTCACTGTCTACGCGCAGCCATAAGATGGACAGGTCCGTACCTTCAAGACTGCCGCTGCCGAGGCGTCAAAAACAGATGTCCTCTCTGACAGATACAGATTATGCCACAAACACCTAGATTAATAGTATTTGTGTATTGAGGCCTTTTTTCCCTAACAAGTCATTAAGGGTCATTTATAATTTATATAAAAACCTTTTTATTTTATAAAATTGAAGTGACAAACGTACTTACAGTCCTTCTAAAGATCTAACGTCTGAAAAACCGATTTCAAAGAAAGAACTCTTTAGATACGTTGTCACATCTTAAAACTAAGATGAAATGCCCCACAGCCTGAAGTTATACTGACTCTCTATTCCCTTTAGATCGGAACACAACAGTGCAGAGACCAGTCTCTGCACTGTTGTGTTCCGATCTAACCAGTTTCTCAGTCTCTTTGTACTACCAGTAGTACAAAGAGACTGTGAAACTGTAAAGCTGTAATATAAGAAGAGTGTGTTATATCATGATTATAATTTACTCGTTCACAAATAGCTACTCTTGAAAATTGACCTCTCCATACAATAATTAAAAATTAAAAATTTTGTACAGCCGACTTCAATATAAATTATTAAAAATAACTCAAAAACTATTGGCCTGACCTCGATCAATTAAAATATATGGAACCACATGAGAAGTATCAGCTTTCATATAAAAAAGAATCATCGAAATCGGTTCACCCAGTAAAAAGTTATGAGGTAAAACACATAAAAAAAAAAACAAAAAAAATACAGTCGAATTGAGTACCGTCTCCTTTTTTGAAGTCGACAGAAAAGACTGTAATACCTATAGCTATAATATAAGAAGAGCGTGTTATATCATGATTATAATTTACTCGTTCACAAACAGCTATTCCTGAAAATTGACCTCTCCATACAATAATTAAAAATTTTGAACAGCCGACTTCAATATAAATTATTAAGAATAACTCAAAAACTATTGGTCTGACCTTGATTAAATTCATATGAGACCACATGTGAAGTACCAGCTTTCAAATAAAAAAAGAATCATCGAAATCGGTTCACTCAGTAAAAAGTTATGAGGTAACACACATAAAAAAACATACAGTTGAATTGAGTACCGTCTCCTTTTTGAAGTCGGCAGAAAAGAAGTACTTACTATAATTACCATCGAGTGATGATCCAGGCCCTTGCCATTTTGACGCTACACTATTGTTAATCTAGTTACATTTCATCAGCCCACAAAGCCTGCTGCTAGATATGAGCATTTCTCGGTGGTGACGGGGATGACTCCGAGCATCTATTAAGATTCTTTTATGCTTCTCGTAAATGCCGCTTGCCATGTCACCACACGAGATAGTTATTATCTATCACTTTATTTTGAAGCGTTGATAGATTATTTTACGTCCGATTAAGAAAGAGATTTTGTTAACAGTTACAGATTATATTTGACTAGGATTTTGTCTGGCTTGGTACTATATACTCTTGACTATTTCTAACGTAAGTGCATCTACTAGGACTATTTGGTAGACAGCCAGTACAAAATTACAGGCTGTGGATTATTTCATATTAACCCTCAGAGGTTATACACATCTGTGGCCTTCTTATCATCAACCATGTACACCATAGTGTAAATCGTTAGTTCGTGTCTCTCCAAAATTGTTTAAAATGAATCGTATAATAAGATATTGCTTTTATACAAAATATTAAAGTACGTTCTACACTTTCTAAAATTTCCGGAAAATTGCGTCGATTTTTAATTATGTCACATGCAAAGTAGTATCATTAAGATAAGGTTTTATTTAAATTTTTCTTATGTGTTAAGAGATTATGTAAGTAGCAACGGGGAAATATTGGATAAAGCTTTTTAAGGGGCGAATGGAACAGTTTTTTTTCCATTTCTATCAATATCAAATAAAAACACTTATATCTTTATAGAATGCAAAAGCAATGCCTTGATCATTGATTCGTGCAGATGTTATCAATAAGTCGACATGCTCGTTTTGAAACCATTACACGTTTTTATTTACAACGCCATCAAATCTTGTCTGTGTTTGAGTAACAAACAGAAAAATAGAAACAACAGAAAAAACATTTAATTCTTAAAAAAACCTGAATAGTAGAAAAAGCTAAGCTTTGTATTATCCTCATATGCAATTTTTTAAAATGGATAGCTGACTCGTCTTCTTACTTTCATTTCATAATATAAATCTATAGTCAGATAGCATTCCACTTTAAGAGTAATAATTTTTGACAAACAGACTTTAGGAATTAGCTGACTCTTTAAGTTAGATCAAATGCATACCAAAGAAATATTCAAAAATATTGAAATTATTGATTTTTGAGGATTTTTTAAACTGAGTTCTGAAAACGAGAAGGTTCCATATTCGACGCGTATGTTTTTTTCATGTATGTTCACCGATTTTACGGATATGGCTGAACTGATTTAAATTATTCCATCTTTATTAAATAGGCTATTCGAAGGTGGCTCATATAAAAATCCATGTCTTAGATTGGAAAAACAGGAGATGAAGAATTTAATTTAAATACATATTTAGATGACAACGTTCAATGGATCGATATACTATGACCATCAATTTGAAAATCTATTAATATGTGGAAATTATTTTATTGTTTTTAGTTATGAAGTCGTTAGAATTTGTACTTCTAATAAAAAAAAATGTCATATTATCCAATACTTTTTCAGTTAAATGTTAAATGTTCCGAAAGCAATACGAGTACCGGCTGTTACGTAAATATTGAGGAAATTTTATTTAGACACGGATCGGCGGAGATGGCTAAGGCATGTTGGCAAAACAAATTATGTAGAGGTTGAAATTGACATCGTTATGCTCGCAAAAGATTTTGCTGGATTTCGAATGCCGATTGCAATAAAAAACTTTCACTGCAGAGATAGCGCCGCCTGCGCCACAACTCCGTGGAGTTTATGTAACCCTGCAGCTTGTCCCTCATTTGTTTTAAATCGTTTGTTGTTAAATCATCGCATGAACAGCGTTGTAAACGTGTTACAACAATTCATTTGATATATTTCATATAGGTTTTCACAATGCACAAAAAAGTCTATGGCCATTTGTTGGTCTGTAGAAACTAAAAAAAGATGTAGGTTCCTTTCAATCTAATATTTCGAAGTGTATGTTTTTTTATAGGATAAGGTGACAAATGAGCACACAGTCCACCTCATGGTAAATGGTTGCTGTGGCCCATAGACATCTACATCTATCCTCGTTTGCGAATTAAAATGCAGATGCGTTGTCACCCGTGAGGACTAAGATGGAATGGCTCATTTCCAGTAAAAAGGGTCTCCGGTTCTCTACACTCTCCATACGAAACACAGCAGTGTAAAGCTGCTATTTTACGCTGGTATTCTGTGAGATCGTGGTCCTTTCCCGGTCGAGCCGACCCATTTGTGCTACAACTATATATATTTTTTACTAATATAGCTGCAGCATGGCTCTACCACGTGAAAAACTGTATGTTTAGAAATATATGCCATATCACAGAATTACTTTGTTATGATTAACCCAGTACGTGCTCTTACAATAAGTTCGGATGTAAATAATTCATTGATTGCCATTACGAAATTCTTTATATATTTTTTTAAAGTCGCTTAAGTGATAAGTCTTTACAGTATGCTTCGTGAATCAGTTCAGTCAAATGTTGAAGACTTTTGAAATAAAATTCGTTCTTGTTTCTTTTCTTTTGTGGAATTTTCCACTCACACGCTAAATAGATTTGATTATGTTTCATTGGTGCACTAAAGCTTGAGATTATGTTTGTTTTCTTTACTTATTATTATGTTGAATGATTGTGACGGTCTTCTTGAGTAGAATACACTAAGACGTTTTCTTAGTAGTCAAGGCCAGCGCTGTGCCAAGTATAGGAAACGTGTATAGATTGATGCAAACAGATTTGCTCGCAGGATCGTTGCCAAGTTCTAACTAATAAAGTGAACGCAACTTACGCGACATTACTGCATAAAATTCGAAGTGGAATACGAACCAACAATACATGTAAAGCGTCTGAGGCAGTTGCATAAATATCATTTTAATGTTGTATCTTGTAAAAATACTAGGCGGAGTAATTATTACTTTCATAATTAAATTGTATTACCTACTTATATTATTTAAGAAACAAGTTGTGTAAATAGTTTAATGACCGCATAATACAGCATAATGCAATTGTGTTTCATACTTTATTACGGCGTAGACGCCTGCTAGCACACATCAATTTACCAACTGTATCTTCGTAAACCTGTACATAGGAAAAATAAAATGTGTTGAGGATATGTGAAGTTGCCAACTCTCACTGTTATAGCAGCGAAGTAACTGCTCCATAAACCTCACAGCAATGAGAAGCCTGTGCACAATATTGAGCTAACCTAACTTTTAATAAAAATAATAATACTAGTTTTAATCAAAAACAAGTTTTATATATCACGGATTTAAAATGTTCCCATTAGTAATTCATGTTATTAAGGCCATTAGTAATAATGTAGAAAATTGTTGATTAGCTTGATCATAATAATGTAGTATTAACGATCTCGTAGTGTTTTTGTGCGACCAACGAACGCGCATTTTCCGTAATGGTAAACAGTCGCTATGACCCAAAGCCATATTTATTCATCATCTGCAACGAATCAAGATTATTTGGACCACTAGGATGAAAAATATCGTTATCCTACATAAAATATTGAAATATTGTCTCAGTAATCGTCTACAGCAATCGTGAATACAGCAATTCCCCTTTCCGTAGAGTCACACCTTGGGCACAGGGCCTTTATACTGAAAACGAGGATCTCCATCTTAATTAGTCCTCAGGGGTGACAACGCGTCTGAGTTTTAATTTTTAATCGAAGGTAGATGTAGATGTCTATTGGCCACAGCATGCACTTACCATCAGGTGGACTGTATAGTCGTTTTTCACACTTATTTTATCAAAAAAAATTCCATCCCACAATTTGAAAGGTTTATCTAGTAATAGATAAGTTATAAGAAGCTTATAAAGAAGATGAAGGTCTTGAAAAATGTGATTGAATTATTACATTATATAGCTATTTGTAACTATAAAGTTATTTACTCGACTTAATTTTTTCTTTTTTTTCCATCATCGGACTATCAGATGCCCGGCCAGTTTCCATCTTTTTCTTGTCACGCATCTGAAACAAACGGGTTGCTACATAATTATGAGTACAACAATGAAGTCGAATAATTAAAATTAAAAAAAGAAACAGCATCTTCTTTGTCTTTCTTCCTATCCAATCACCATGTGGATGTCTTAAAGACATAAGTGAATAGGCTTTTGTTAAGCTAAATTAGTGCCCTTTATCATCTTCGGCTACATCACAATTTACCTTGAGGTGGGATAGTATTTAAGAACCGGCCTAACCTAAGTTAAGGATTCATAGTAAGATGTGATTTGTTCTTATAAGTGGTTAATTAAATTATTTTTCTTGTTCTTATAGGTATGGTTACTTAAATTATTTTTCTTTCCTTAGGCCTACCGTCACAAGACCTCGTCATCAGTCCAGATTGCGAGGATCGCGGCATTGACAATAATAGCCGCTTCCTTTATCCTCGGCGCCTTCATCTTGGCCTCCAGTTGGGTTGCTGCTCGCGCGTCATGTCACCAATTGGAGCAACTGGACGCCATGCTAGACAAAGAGCTCGCCCTGGAAGGAAGAAGTTATGGAAACGACGGCCTGCTTAATGTAAGTAGCAATTTTAAATGCTTTCGTTTTCTGAGTTAAGTGGATAAAACACGTTTATTTTTGACGCAAAGTCGTGTGGTAGCGGCTTAAAGACACCATCATTCCTTTTGGACCCGTAAGTAAAGTACGTAAGTACGTAAGAGTCAACTATGGGAAATGCTACTAGAAGGATCTTATGGCTTGCGACAAATGGCGATGTCATACGTTAGACGTAAAATTGTGGGTAATCAAAGTGTCAAAGATACTACCATTGTCAAACCGCCTGTTAAGGCGAATTTATGGCAAATCCTTTTTGTAACGGGAGGTCTATTTCCAGCAGTAGACATTTATGGCCTGATGAAAAAGTAAGTATACAAGAAAGTATATCATCAAATCAAACCTCCGTGGTTTTTAGATATTAATTAGACCTATATCTGTATTTTTTTATGATAAATAAATTAAAAAAAAATCTAACATAAAAAGTACGTGTATATTTATTAAATGTACATATATAATATTATTATTATACTAATAATATCCTATTAATCCTAAAAATTTGATAAAACATTAAAATAATAGCTTTTTACCCGACTGCCAACGAAGCGTTATGTTTTTCGCGCGTATCTTGTACGTTTTTAAATTTTTATACTAATTTTATCCTACTTATCCTAAAAAATTGATAAAATACTAAAATAATATCTTTTTACCCGACTGCCAATGAAGGGTTATGTTTTTGCGCGTATTTTGTATGTTTGTAAATTCCTTTATTACCTCCTATCTTCCAAACGGCTGGATGGATTTCGACAATTAAGGTATCGTTTTATTCGTCTTGAAAACCCAAGTATTATTACACAGCTGTTTGAAAAAAAAACAAGCAAAATGGCGGATTTTTGACGCAAGTTAGTAATACGTTAATAGAAAAAAATTAACCAACCTATCGAGTAGGGTATCAAAATAAAGGAAATTAAAGAGGAATTACAAAAATATATATAAGTTACATGTTTAAATTTAATTAGGAATAATAAATTGGTTTAAAAAGTTTTTGATAACGAAAAAATGGGCCATATTTGTGTCGGACCTCGTGCTATCATATGAAATTTAGTTCATAAGAGTGTGCCAGGAATAATATAAATAATATAAAATAAATAATATAAAAAATCAAAAATCCGACTACAAAAAAGTTAATTTAAAAGTAGCGTAAAAAGTAATTTGAAAACGGAACCCATTAATATTCTTTCGGTTTATAATTTGCAATTGGGTCCCGCCTGCTACTAAACTTAAAGCGGGTATTTAACTTAGGCTTTCAGCTCATAATATAGTCTGTTAAACCCAAGAAGAGTTTATTTTGTTTATAGTTTATTTTAATTTTGTTTTCTATTCTCAATCTTGTTTCGGTATTATTAGTGCATTACTTTTAAATTGTCTTTTTTGCAGTCGGGTTTTGGATTTTTTAAATTATTTATTTTATTACCAACCGTATTACAACATGCACTTAACGGTTCCAGTCAATCCTCGTCGGCACATTGAAAACTTTGTATAGGGCTACTAGATAGTGATAGTAGATAGTAGTATCATTGAATCTTTATTGGAAAATTGAAATAGCATTTTACCTAGCTACGCGCCTTACCCCACCTTCGCCTAACTACTTAGTACTTACACTTAAGAGTGTTCTAACCTAACCTACTTTAAAGATATCTGCAAAGTAAAGCGGTTTTGTTGTTTTTTATATTTGCTTTTTAATTTCAACCAGAACTGATGAAAACTAAAGTCTGTTTTGACATTTTACCCCACTTCAATTGATGTATTAGAAAGATTTGAAAAAAAAATGATTATGCATTGACAACATACACGTTAGTTTTGAAACAAATGTTATGTGTGATGTGCAAACGTGTTTGTGCTGCTCAGTTTATCGACCTCCTGTTTTAGTTGACTCTCTATTTGATATTCAGAGTTCAGACTAAGTAGCCTTCGTGTGAGGAATTCCTTATTATGCATTGAATTGAAATTTTCGGTTTTGTTTAAATAGAAGATTGTTTGACCTAGTAGTGCGTGTGGTCAATTTAAAAATTGAAAGTGATATAATATCTGCAATGTTACCTTAATAATGCAAACACTTAATTAAAAAGGTAAAGAAGAAACAATAATAGTAGTAGAGTTTAAAAAACTTAAACAACACGCATTGATCATGAGATGTAATGATCTTAGTGAGAATACTAGGTCATACCTAGTGATTAAATAACTGTATTGTCATCGGTTTTTAATACGTTCGCATTTCAAATCAATCAGATTTTTTATAGGATAAGGGTGACAAAAGAGCACACAGTCCACCTGATGGTAAGTGGTTGCTGTGACCCATAGACATCTATCTTCGATTACTAAGGATTATGATAGAATGCCTTGTTTCCAGTAAAAAGAGTCTGCGGTTCTCTACACTTACCATAAGAAACACAACAGCGTTAACCTGCTATTTTACGCTGGTATTCTGTGAGAGCGTGGTCCATCCCCGGTCGAGCCGACTCATTCGTGCTACTATTAATATAGCTCCAGCATGGCTCTACTACGTATACGATGTACGAGTATAAGACTTCTAGAAGCGGGTGAAAATTCAATTACAAAATTCCATTATATTAATACATACATACGGGTTCAGCTACTATAAAGCGTGTAATTATTTTATTTTATCGTGGAGATCCTGATCAGGAAATTACGTTAAAGTAATTAAACTATTGTATTGTCGTCGATCCTCGATACAAGATGCAAATTTTCAAGTCAATCGGCCGTCTACAAGTTGATGATATTTTCGTTAAAAGATTCCGTTACATATATAGATAGATAGAGACACGCGTAGCTAATAAAAGCATGTTAAAAAGAAGGAATTTTCAATAGAGACAAGAATCTTGCTTGGTTTGAAAAATTAACAAGATATTTTTACATTATTGTTATGACGGATATCCTTGAAACTATAATACGAACCAATTACCGTTGATCTCATATTTTTGTTCTAACTAGTATTATTAGTTACTTTGTGGTTTTATTACAATAATTTTACATACCACATAAGCTTTGTTTTCAAACAGCGAAAAACTAAATGTTGTTCTGTACAGAGCACAGAGTCGTGTTTATGTTTTGTGCGTTTTAAAGTTGGACGAAGTCACATTGCGCGACGACTAGCGACCTGCTCACCTTGAATCTCTTCACAAATGTTGCGCAAAGCGATTCTAACAGGCCCTCTTTTATGGCTAGTAAGATGTACTGTGAAGAAATCAGAAGGTTATATTAATTGGCGCATTTGTTAACTTCACCTGGTTTCAATTTAATTAACCAAGGCAAGTATACAGAAGAATTTCAATGAGGGTAACTCTGCATTCGAAACAAATTAATATCTACATGTTTATTAATGTAAAAGTTTGAAAAAGTAAGTCACATGCAATAACTAAGTTAAAAAAACGCTGTTAAAAATTGCTTATTATGGGTCACTATAAGTGTAGTCTAACCGTGCAGTGGTAATGAAAGAATATCCATTACCTCATCACGTGGGTGTAGCGTGAGGCGGCAGAAGGAAACTGAAGCAGGAGATGAGTAGCAGCATCTTCCTGATAACAGTTGTATAAACAAAAAAAAACTGCGAACGCCAACACGCTTGTACAGCTAGCTAAGACCCAGATTGTATTAATACGATTAATATAATTTTTTCGAATGGAATGGATCGAATAGAGGGAAGTTTAGTTCAGGGTAAATTTCTACTTCAGATTATACATATGCTCAAAATGTTATCTTAAAGGCCCTTAAACGCATAAAAATTATATATAAGGCAATTAAAAGCCTTTTTATATAGTTAGTTTTTTTTTTACTTATAAATTAGATTTGATCACTACAAACCGCAGCGAAGAAGTAATACCAGTCGTATCCTTGGTTATGTAATTTTATATAAATAAGTAGTAGCTAACTTCGTTTATTATCTTCAAGTTTTTGGGTATATTTCATGACCTATCCAAAGCCTTCGATTGTGTTCAACATGAAACATTAATCAGGAAACTACAACACTACGGTGTAAGAAGTAATGCTCTTAAATTATTTTTTCATATTTAAGTAACAGAACTCAAAAAGTTGTCATTAATAGTATGAGCTCGTCCGGGTTGATAGTACAAATAGGCGTGTCTCAAGGCTCAATTCTCGGCCCTTTTCTGTTTCTTGTATATATTAATGACTTGCCTTACATAGTAGGGGATAACCATAATATAGTATTATTTGCTGATGACACTTCATTAATTTTCATATTAAAATGATAATTATTAATATATAACGAAGTAAATAAAGCTATATCTAAATTAGTAAATTGGTTTAATGTTAATAACTTGCATTTAAATGGCCCTAAAACGAAATGGCACGAAAACGAAATTCATGACTCCAAATGTCAAACAATTAAATACTAATGTAATTTTAAATTGGAAGGAACTGAGTCTTGTCGATACCACCATTATTTTTGGAATCACATTAGACGCGAAGCTTCACTGAAGCCCCCATATATCAAAATTAGCAAGCAGACTTAGTTCTGCAGCATATGCTTTACTTTAGCTATTTCCATAGCATAATGTCGTATGGTATTTTGCTATGGGTCCCCACGCGACTGACATTGAAATTATATTTGTTATACAGAAGAGGGCCATAAGAGCAATCTATGATTTAAAGTATAAAGTAGCGCTCCGACAAAAATTTAAGGAAATTAATATATTAAATTTGGCCTCTCAATACATTTATGAAAATGTAATGTACGTACACAAAAATAAAGGTACTTATACAAAAATAAGTGATATTCATTCTGTAAATACTAGGAACAGACACAAGCTAGTAGTACCAGTTACTCGACTCCACCGAGTCAGTAATTCATTCTTGGGGCGATGTATAATACGCTTTTACAACAAACTCTCAGAAAATATACAAAATTTGACCTGCTGAAAGTTCAAAAACTTTATTAAACAAAATTTGTATAAAAAGGGTTATTATAACATTAAGGAATTCAT